GAGAGAGCACACCTTTATTTAATATAGTTGTAACAAATGAAGTAAGAAATCATTCCAATGTGTACTATATTGTATTTAAAAGGGGAGTGATTAGTAAAATATGCATAAATAGAAAGAAAGAATACTAACTAGGTAATATAAGATAAGAATAAACAAGTTTAAATGATTTGTTATTGGTTGTGATCATATTCTAAAGATGTTTGGATTATTGAAAAGTATACAGCTCCCTTTCATCTGAGTGTTGAGAGCTGTATCCATAAATTCATGTTGTGCTCAAAGTGCACCAGATGCATTTCACTTCAACATTTAAAAACACATCTTCCCAGGGTGCATGCCCCCGGACCCCCCTAGAGGAGGTGAGGACCCTCCCTAGAGGATGTGAGGTCCCCCCCCCGAAATAAAGCAGGTTAAAATAATTAAATTGAATACATTTTCTTTTAGTAAACACTGAAAACGGGTCCCACAGACCCAAACAGCTCACAAAGGTTAAAGGTCAGCATATCATAATGTTAAAATGTGCTAAATATATACACTGCAAAAAACAATAAAAAGAGGAGTAAAAGTAGCTCACGACTTGTTTTATTTTTTGAAAGTAGCTCTCATCCTAAAAAAGGTTGGTGACCCCTGCCCTAGAGAGATGCTTCATATGAACTAGTTTGTAGGACCGCTTCTTAAGTCAAAGAGCTTTTGTTGTGAATGTCCACACTGGTGAATCAGCTGATCCTGCTTCCTTACACTGGCTGCACACCAACCCGATTTTGGGAGTCAGAGGCCATCAGAGTCAGTCGGGCATTCGCGGCGCCCTACTCAGGTTGGTGTGTCCCGCACCGTCGTCTCTTTACGGCACCTTTTCACACCTCCCGCGGCCGATTCAACAAGGCCCAAACAATCACTCTGATTGGCTGTTCACACTACCGCTGCCTGCTGGTAAGGACAGTTATTGCCACTCGTCGACTGAAGTATTTGCGGTGTGTTCGTAGGCGGGCGGCGTAGGCGGGCGGCGTAGCCGACGCAGGCGACGTAGCTGACGTAAAGGTCTGGACGCCTTCGGTACGCGTTCTTTGGTCTCAGGTGGGTGTGGAGCGGCCTTTACACTGGCCCCAGAACTGCAGGCTGGAGCACAGTGGCAGCCACTCTCTTCTTGGAGGTATACTTCCTCATCATCATCCGTATCTTCCTTTCTTTCTGTCCTGCTTTGTGTTGTCCTTGGTCTGGCCTGTTACATCATGGCAATGCATCTCCATTCTTCAGTGGGGATGTTCGCAGACAGAAGTGGAGGGTCCAGGGTGTGCATTCAATTGATGCTTCTCTGAAGGGTAGACTCCACAAGAATGGAAGACATGTATCCTTCAGTGCTGGCTATTATGCCTTGAAAGCAAATAGTTTGAAAATATATAGTTTTTTAAATAATGTTATTATAATTATTATTATAATAAAACATTTTTGTTCATTCATTACATGTTTTAAGTATTTAATAAACACAACAAGATTATATGTTATGAGGCGCATATAACCACATTCATTCCTTGAAGGACTGCATGCTTAGCGGACTTCCTCTGCGTAGTACTCAGGGGCTCATAAGTGTTAAGACAGAATGGGCCTGTGTACAGCGTAAATTACAAACGTTATGAGGAGGAGATGGTCTGTCCCTCCCTTACATGCAACAAGTATTGTAAGTGTGAGTCATGCTTTAGATGAAGAAATGCACTTCAGTTTCTTCAGTTTTTCTGCTCCCCTTGGATGAGCTGCTGTATCACATGGAAGTGTGCATGCAGCATGGAAGGAGACGACTATCACTTTGAGGAGCCAGGAAGGTGTAGCTGGCTGAACGGACAGTAGGTGACCCACAGCTGCTTGGCTAGTGCTACTCATTCTATATGTGACCTTCTCTATCAAAATCCATCACTTTGACCCAGAAACACATTATAATAATTTATAATAATTTATAATAATACGAATAATTCATTACATTTATTTAGCGCTTTTCCAAGTGCTCAAAGCGCTTTACATCAACATGTCCACATGTTACCGTCCACATCAATACTGTGCACAATACCCACAGGAACAAATGAGACACAACGGCATGTTGACTGCAGTGCGGTCAAGGCAGGATTGGAGCTGGTGTTCCCCAGCCCCCCTGACCTGAGATCAACACAATGCCCACTGCGCCACACCCTTTATGAGTTGTATAAACAGTTGGAAAGAAGAGATTATTAGCTTTCAAATGAAATCCTTTCAAACTATATCACATAGTATGATGAAAGTTATCAAAAATCACTTATGACATAAAGGCCTTCAAAGTGTGCTTTACAATGATT